CACATCCGTATCTCACATACCTTCTTTCCCTCAAACTTGTTTATCTCTAACTATCAAGGGCATAGCTATAGTTTGTCGAGATCAAGGCTGCCCGCAGCCCATAGCTGATTGCCCACACCTCATGAGATTCATTCTGGACATCATCACAAAACGTGAAAGTGAAGAATGTCATTGGGAGAAATCAACATGGATTCACCCAAGGGAAATCATTCTTAACCAACCTGATTGCCTTCTATGATGTCATTACTGGCTGGCTAGGTGAGGGGAGAGCACTGGATGTTGTCTACCCTGACTTCAGCAAGGCTTTTGATACTGTCTCCCATAACATCCTTGTTAGGAAACTCAGGAAGAGTGAGCTTGATGAGTGGACAGTGAGATGGATTGAGAGCTGGCTGTGTGACTGTCCTGGTTTGAGCCAGGATGAAGCCAATTTTCCTTTTACTGATTTTTTTTTTCCTTCAGTAAGTTTTCTTTCTTTTTTCACAGAGCCTTCCAGCTAAGGCTGATAAGAGTGAAATGTTTTTCTAACTGATGGGTCTTCAAGGTCGCATCTTTACTCTGCCGGCTCAGATGCACTCACTCACCCTTCAACAGTCCTATCTGGCCAGTGCAAAAGCCTGATGGCGAGTGGAGGCTGACAGTGGACTATTGTGGTCTGAATGAGGTGACACCACCACTCAGTGCTGCTGTGCCAGACATGCTAGAACTTCAGTACAAGCCGGAGTCGAAAGCAGCCAGGTGGTATGCCACTACTGACATTGCTCATGCCTTCTTCTCTATTCCTCTAGCACCAGAGTGCAGGCCACAGTTTGCTTTCACCTGGAGGGTAGTCCAGTACACCTGGAATTGACTGCCCCAGGGGTGGAAACACAGCTGAACCATTTGCCATGGACTGATCCATGTTGCACTGGAGAAGGGTGGAGCTCCAGAACACCTGCAGTACATCAATGATACCATTGTGTGGGGTGATATGCCAGAACGTCACAAGATCCCAGTGGACGTGATTAACAAAATAACAGCTATGGCCCCACCAGCTAACAAAAAGGACTCTCAAACCTTTTCAGGGACTGTTCATTTCTGGAGAATGCACATTCCTGGTTACAGTCAAGTTGTTAAACCGATCTATGAAATACCCTGAAAGAAGAGTGGCTTTAAATGGGGTCCCGACCAACAGAAAGCTTTTGAGCATATTAAAAAGGAGATTGTGTAGGCAATGGCCCTTGGACCAGTTCAAACAGGGCTAGACATCAAGAATGTGCTCTACACCTCAGCCAGGTACAATGATCCTAACTGGAGCCTCTGGCAGAAAGCACCAGGGGAGACTTGAGGTCTATGTTTGGGATTCTGGAGCCAGAGCTACAGAGGTTCCAAGGCCAACTATATGTCAACTGAAAAGGAGGTACTTGCAGCATATGAACGAGCTGGAGCCATTTCAGAAGTGACTGTCGCTGAAGCGCAGCTCCTCCTGGCACTCTGATTGCCATTATTGAGCTTCATATTCCAGAATAACCTTTCGCCTATCCATCATGCCACTGATACGACTTGGAGTAAATGGACTGCTTTAATTACCCACCGAGCTCAAATAAGAAGGCCTGGTTTGAGCCAGGATTAAGCCAATTTTCTTTTTACTGTTTTTTTTTTCCTTCAGTTAACTCTCTTTTAAGCAGCACATTGCTGAAAGTAGCAGCAAGTTTTCCAGCTACTGGACTGATAATGCTTGAGTGTTTATAGTTACTGCTGAGGGACCAAGGCCACTTTGCTCCACTTGTTGAATCTGCTGCTTCAAACACTAAAGGAGCAGAAGGCTCACATCTACAACCCTCCCATAGGGAGGAGCAGACTAGACAGATGGCAAAATTGGCAACACAAATTATTCCATCTATATATTTATGTGGCACTCAATATAAATTCAGGGATCACTGAAATCAAGCCCTTCTTTTTCCCCTCTCTTCTGTTCATGGCCAGCATCCAGGGAGGACTTTTTCTATCCATCTCCTTTGATCCCTAGGCCCACTGATACCCTTTCAGGTCCTGGAAATATCCTCTCTTGAGGTAGTCTATGCCAAGGATGCACGGAGCATCTGGGTCAGTCACTATAGGGTGCATTTGTCACTTTTTAACAGTGAGTCTCACATCAGCCTCCACAACAGTCAGTTCTTGAGATCCTTCCGTCACTCCAGAGATAGTGACAGATTCTGTTACTTTATGATTCAATGGCATTAGGGCATCTAAAACTCCTCTCTTCCATGACTAAGGAAGCTCATTCCAAAAGCTCTGCCTCAGAGTCTTATGAGCTATGCACAAAAAAGAAAGAACCAAAATGTAATAACATGATGTCATGGTATCCTCCAGTCAGGTCTTCCTCAGCTTTGCTATTTTCAAGACAAGGACTGAGTTGTGAGTGCAGTGAACATATATGCCACTACATATGGAACTTATCACTTTTAATATCATCTTGACAATAAATGGGGTTTTATACCTGTATTGGTTTTGTGTGGCAAGTTTTTGGTAGCAGGGGTCTGCAGAGCAGTACTTACACAGCATCAAGGCCTTTTCCGTTTCTCACACTGTCCCACCAGAAAATAGGCTGGGGATGAAATAAAAGTTGGAAGGGGACACAGCTGGGACAGCTGACCCCAACTGACCAAAGGGATATTCCATACCATATGACATCATGCTCAGCATATAAAGCTGGGGGGAGAAGAAGGAAGCAGATGTTTGGAGTTATGGTGCTTTGTCTTCCTAACTAACCATTACGCGTGATGAAGCCCTGCTTTCCTGGAGATGACTGAACACTTGCCTGCCAATGGGAAGAAGTGAATGAATTTTTGCTTTGCTTGCACATGTGGTTTTTGCTTTATTTATTAAACTGTCTTTATCTCAACCCATGAGTTTTCTCAGTTTTACCCTTCTGATCCTCACCCTGTCCCTCTTGGTGGGAGTGAGCAAGCAGCTGTGTGGTGCTTAGTTGCCAGCTGGGGTTAAACCACAACAAGTGGGCACCTGGCAGCTGGCCAAGATCAATGCACCACAATTTTCCCCTTTCCATTTTTTAAATGCTTATTTCTCCAACACAGAATGAGAGAAAGAAGCCAGATCATGACAAAAAACATACTGAGCATTCTCTTCTCCAATTACTCTCTACTCTTACAAATTATTGGAACATGCAAGAACTTAAATTACTTTCAATACAGAGTTTTCTGTTGCACTTATTATAATTTAGTTTTTAAAAAGTCAAAAGAAGTATTAGAATATTTATAATAAATACTATTCAGTGTTGCCTAAAATAGGCTTCCACTGAGTTAACAATAGAGAGAATAAGAAACTGCTCCCTAACCTAAATAGCTTATTTACCTCCTCCTGCTTTGTGCAGGTGTGCTGCAGCATTCCTCAGATAAGCAACGTCGGTTGGACCGAGCCAAAGGAGGCTGTGTATTTGATGCCATCTCCCATGGTCCCATCGGCGGTGATGTAGTTGATGATGCTGCTGTGTAGTCAAAGACCGAATGAGAAAGCCGTTGTCTCTTGGGACTTGAACTATCTTCACTATGTGGCAATGTAGACAAAAAAAAAAATCCTCAGCTAAGTGATTTGTTTAACATATTGAAACTCCAATATTTACTTCAGCTAGCATTAGAGAGGGAGACTTAACAGACTAAATCAAAATACCTTACAATTCAACAATTATAATTAGTTGTAGAACCCGCTGCATTCATAACACAAACAGTTGCCCACCTAAGCATTTTTACTAAAACATCTTTTAGCAAATTCAAGATATTTTAAATACTAATGCTAAAGCAACCACAAAAGTTATATCAGAAAAAGGAGTAAACATTTACTTCAGGAGAAAGAGGTAGGTCCTATTTTGCTATAATATTCAACACAGGCATTACCACCCCAATACAAAATTAGGATATAAACACATAAATGAGTGATCCAAAGACTTTTTTGAAAAGATAATCACAGATTTCATAGAATCATAGCATCACAGAATGGTTTGAGTTGGAAGGGACCTTAAAGATCATCTAGTTCCAACCCCCCTGCATGGGCAGGAACACCTCCCACTAGATGAGGTTGCTTAAAGCCCCATCCAACCTGGCCTTGAACACTTTCAGGGATGGGGCATTGTCACAGCTTGACTACAGATCAGCAATTAAACCAGAGACAATAATGCTCTCAAGCCCCTCCCGTTGGATCTCATTGGTCCCCATATACCATCAAGGACCTGGTCCTCCTTGAGGTTGTAGCACTCCTGACATCAGGGCAGGACTACCCTGAATCCCTCATCTGAACTTGTAGGGTCACAACAATGGCTGGGCACAGTGCTGCACTAGAAGAAGCAGACAGACAGAGGCCAAACCTCTGAAACCCCAAGCCCATTAAGCATTGGAGCCCCTGTTTTACTAGACTTGTCTCAGATTTTGACATTCAGAAACCAGGGCTCACATAAGTCTTGAGATGTGCTTTCATTTTCAAAATTGAAAAAAGAAAGAAGTGGGTTTTATGTGAAATATATTGGGTTTTCTCTGCTCTGGGAGACATCAAAACTTCTGTTTTGTTCTGAAAGAGAGTGTTTTCTACTTTTAAAGCAGTTTTGGACTTCACACTGCTGTTACTCTCTGCAGCTGAGAGCATACTGCTCTGTGTAGCTGCCCTTGTTTTGTTTTATGGTTTATTGACAGAACTGTAGGCATAATCAACAATATAATTACCAGCTTAGCAATCCTAGTGTTTATGATACTGATCTTTATGGGGGCACTGTATGTGTAGAGTTACGGTACAGATTCTAAAGTGAACAGAGAGGCTCATGCTGGCAATGGTAGTAGCATGTTCAGTTTTACTTCTCAATTTTCTCTCAAGCTGAATCTCCCAGCTCTTTATTTGAATAACATTTTTTTCTGAATAGCACAGTTAATCCTGTGACCAGGAGCAAAGCAAAGGTGAAACCCTCCTCCCTTTTTACCTGTTCCTGTCTGAGACATGCAGAGTTTCTTCGAGCAATGATAGAGACCGAAATTGAGGAAGCAGATGATTCTAAATCTGGTGATGGAGCAGGTACCTCTCTAATAGATAAAAAAACAGGCCCTTCTCAAGCAGATAGAACAGCAGGCCCTCCTCAATCAGATGATGATGATGACCTTGTCCAGCCTTTCTCTATGAAGGAACTGTGCCTCATGAGAAAGGACGTCACCTACATTGACGGTGAGGGACCTCTTCCTTGGTTGCTCCGATGCTTTGATAGTGGGGCTGAAACCTATAACATGGATGAGAGAGAAGCCAAGCAGTTGGGATCCCTGGCCAGAGATGCTGGTATTGCTAGAGCACTTGGTAGTAAGATGCAAACTACCACCCTGTGGGACCGGCTTTTTTCAGCTGTGAGATACCCCCACAAGGGTGACATCGAATGGTGCCGAAGCAGAACACCCACTCTTGAGAAAGCCATCATGTATTTGAGAGAAATAGCTGTGCGAGAGGTGATCTATGATAAAGATGGACTTAAAAATCCCGATGACATTCTGTGCAACACACAAATGTTCCGGAGGTTTGCGCAGGCTGTACCAGCAGTCCATGCTCATGTATTCTCCTTAATGGGATGCATTCATGATGATGCAAGACCAACTGTGCGTGAATTGGCTTTCAGAGCACAACGTTATGGAGACATGATCTCTGATTCCCATCAGTTCCACACCTCAGCCACTGAACAAATGACTGACAGAAAGAATAAGATGACGAACAGATGGGGAGGTAAACCTCAGAATCTCCATAGAGATTATTTTAAAGAGGACATGAGAATCTGGGACAAGATACCCACTGATATTCTCCAGTTAAGTGTGCAAGAGCTGCTAAATAGAACAAATCAGATGACAGTTCTTCCAGGAAGAAAGCTACACCAGTCTCCACCCAGGATGGCTTATCGACCTCTAATGCTCAACATTAGAGGTGCCCTGCCTCCAGTCAAGGGGAGGAGAGGGACAACCGAGTTTACTGGCCTGTGTGGATTTGGTGGCCTTAGAACAACAAAGGTGTAAAGCCCTGGTGGACACTAGTGCACAGTGCACCCTAATGCCATCAAATATTAAAGGGACAGAATCAGTAACTATCATAGAATCATGGAATCACAGAGTCATTAAATTTTTTGACAGGTATCCCTGAGGAACCACCCCCAGCAACTCCCACAACACTCTCCTTAGCTGTGAACAGCCCGAAAAGTCCCGGAGTGCTGACAAACGGAGCAGCAGGGCAGACAGGAGCTGAGGGTAGAATTATGAGGGTCAGGAACACATGAGCCTAGGGATCAACGGTGATAGATGGATGGAGTCCTCCTCAGATGTCGGCCATGGACGGAAGAGAAGGGAAGAAGAAGCAGGAAGGAAGTTGTCTTCTGTGATCTCTGACCTTCCTCTGAGCTTACATATATGGAATGGAATATCTCTGGCCAATTTTTCTGTCCATCTAGTTCAGCCTCCCCTAGCGGGAGGGGTGGAGTGTGGGTGTGTCATAGATCTCCCAGTAGTGCCAGAGATGGCAGGGTAAAGATGTGACCTTGGAGTCTTGTCAGTAACATAAACATTCCAGTGCTGTCAGTCAACTAGTTGGAACACTTGCTGCTAGTTAAAAGAGAGCTTACTGAAGAAAAAAAAAATCAGTAAAAGAAAAATTGGCTTCATCCTGGCTCAAACCAGGACACTGGATCAATAGGCCAAGGCCAGTTTTATGAGATTCAATAAGGCCAAGTGTCATGTCCTGCATTTCAGTCACAACAACTCCAGGCTTGGGGAAGAGTGGCTAGAAAGCTGCCCAGTGGAAAAAGGCTTGGGGGTGTTTATTGACAGCTGGCTTAACATGAGCCAGCTGTGTGTCCAGGTAGCCAAGAAGACCAACAGCATCCTGGCCTGCATCAGGAATAGTGTGGCCAGCTGGAGTAGAGAGGTGATCGTGCCCCTGTACTTGGCATTGGTGAGGCCACACATCAAATACTGTGTGCAGTTCTGGGCCCCTCGCTACAAGAAGGTCATTGAGTTGCTGGAGCATGTCCAAAGAAGAGCACCAGCTGGATTACATGCAACCTTTTCCTTGAAGGGATCTTTCCCTCACACTTGAGAAGAGATGTTTCCATAGACTGCAGGCTTGTGCGCCTCTTCCAATCACTTTATCAATGTCTCCTTCCTCAGCAAAGGACCCCAGCTGCCTGGCTTCTCTACCATCTAAATCCAATCTACTGGTCCCATTATCCCAGCATCTGAGCAGCCAAGTGACAATTTGCTTGCCTTGATGACAGCTGAAATATTTTCTCACTTGGGTATAGAGATCGGGTACTGGTCGTCTTCCCCTTCCTCCTTCTCTTCCTCCTTAGGAGTAGCTTCTTCATCCATTTCTAAACGTGTTGATCTTCATGCCAATTTTGTCTTCTGTATGGGGGTGACTGATACTGGCATTGGTTGAATCCCTAGTTCAGCTGCATCACCTATCTCTGGGGTTTGAGTAGCTGCAGTTGTGGGGGTTGAAGCAGCTACAGTACCTGTCCCCAGGGTTTGAGTGGCTGCAGTGCCTGTCACCGAGGTTTGAGTAGTCGCAGTATCTGTCGCCAAGGTCTGAGTATCTGCAGTATTTGTCATGGGGGTTAATTTCTGAATGGTATTCATAGATGTTTAACCCTAAACAAGACCTGAACCATATTCAGGAGCATGTTGGTTCCTAGGAATAGGACCATGCTGATTTCAACATCCAAAGGATAGTAAAGATCTTTAAAATTCTCAAACAATGTTATATATAGCCTGGTGGAGACAGGAAAGATGCGTAAGGATATGTCCTCCATAAGTCGGCTCCTTGAGGAGAAAAGTCAAAAAGTGTAATTATTAATAGTCTCCAGGAGACCCGAAGTACAGAGATAAGCAGAGTGCCTACGATAAAGGTTAAGTGGCAGGGTGTCACAGGTTGACGGAGGTATCCTTCCTCTTTATTCAGCACTGGTGAGACTACACCTGGAGTCCTGTGTCCAGTTCTGGGCTCCCCAGTAAACGAGAGCCATGGATACACTGGAGAGAGTTCAAAGAAGGGCTACAAGGAAGGTTTTAAGGGAGTGAAGCATCTCTCCTGTGAGGAAAGGCTGAGAGTGCTGGAACTCTTTAGCCTGGAGAAGAGAAGGCTCAAGGGACATCTTTTCAATGTGTATAAATATCTGAAGGGGGGGCTGCAAAGAGGACAGAGCCAGACTCTTTTCGGTAGTGCCCAGTGAGAATAAAAAGGGCAATGAGCACAAAGTGAAACCCAGGAGGTTCTGTCTGAATGTCAGGAAACACTTTTTTACTGTGATGGTGACTGAGCACTGGAACAGGTTGCCCAGAGACTGTGGAGTCTCCCTCCCTGGAGGTATTCAAAAGCAATCTGGACATGGTCCTGGGCAACTGGCTCTTGGTGGCACTGCTTGAGCAGGGGGGTTTGACTAGATTACCTCCAGAGGACCCTTTCAACCACAATAATTCTGTGATTCTGTGAATCAAGTGCTCAAATGTCTTTTTAACAAGTATTGTGAAGGCAATATTTCTATAAAAATGTTTCTTCTGGTTTCTTCTCTTGGTCAAGCACTCATGCTGAAATAAACATCTATGCTAGGGCTTTCAGAAATTTTCTCAATGAGAGATTGTATGACAAACTAACATACCTGGTCTATCAAAACTTTCCAGTGTAAAAACATCCTTACTATTGATTTGTGCTTCTAATTATAAGTGCCACAAACTTTTCTTAATGTGATCTTTCATCTTTTTCCTTATGTGTTTTTAGTCCTCCTGTTCACCATCAGAGAGCAAGAAGGGATTGTCTTTCTCAACACAATTCTTTTAGCCAAGGTGAAAACTACCACCATCTCTCCTATGGACGGCAGCAAGCAATAGAAGAGCCCCAAGCTTTTAACCCTCCAAATATATCCCATCGTATGTTGTCCCCAGCTGCTCACCCACCACAGCAGAACACAGTGATGGTTGACATTCATGATCAGGTAAGAGTGTATTGAGAACATGGATGCAAATGTCTTAAACTCTGTGTATTCCTCTCTAAAGAAAGCAAATGAGTGAACTCTCCTTGACAAATTAGTTGGCAATGGAGGTCACACAACAATAATTCCTATTAGTCCTCTTGTAGAGTGTTTTTTTTCCCTTTTTTTTTTCTTCTGAGTAGTATCAGTGTATAGAGAGCTGCAGCATTCAGCAGAAATAAAAAATCTAGACTCTAATAGAGAAGAATGAAAGTCAACAGCCTGTCAGCGTGTATTGGCAGTTCTGAAGATCTCTGCATCCCACCTTTGAAATGTGACTCTTCTGCTTCTGAAGTTAATTTAGTCTAAGATAAGCTGTAGTAATAATGTATATACTTCATTGCATAGGAAGTATCTCTCCTTAGCTTAAAGTGCTTTACATAGTTTAAATATATACTTCAAAAATAGAATTCACAATACATATAATTGCCTACATAACAGCAAAACTCATAATCTTATAACTAAATTATTCATTCTAACCTTAAATGGCATGAAAAAATGAGATTTGCAATTAGCCCAGAAAAAAAATTTAGGTCTTCCTGAGACAGGAAGAGGAGTAGGATTCCATAACGGAGGCTCTTAAAAGTAAATTGTCCTCTTGATATAGACTTTTCTTGTTCAAAACAGTAGACTGCAGCCCAAATGTGTTTGTTGTTATGCAGTTACATTCACTAACTGGGAACAGAGCTGGTCATTCTAGTGCATTTTACAGGGGGGTTTCCTGAACCAGAGGAACCTAAGGAGAGACCCGACAGGAGCCCACAGCTATGAGGCCTGGGCAGGGCTAGGAGCAATGGTGGGATATTTAAACGTGTAATCGAAACTAACACTCAGTCGCCAAGGTGAGCAGCTCAGGTACCATCACAATCTACAGTGAAACGCTCTAACATGGTGTATGGGGAGTTGTTCCTGAACCAAGGAAACCTCAAGGGAAGCAGACTCACCAGGAGCCTGCAGCTTACGAGACAGCGGCTGACAAGACCTGGGCGGGTTCAGGAACAACAGTGGCCAAGCCCCTCCCACACGTATCAAAGAAGCTCCTAGGGAGCACTAGCTACCAGAGCAGGCAAACAGGGCGTGGTATCTCATCAAGGCGTGGCAGTTAGCATGACAATTCACACAGAAGGGTGTGCAGGAAGGGCGCTGTAACTCTGCCACCTCTACCAGGGAGAAATGGTATCTACCCAGCAGAAGGCCATGGATTCACTAAACTCTGCACTCACCACGACTGACACAACTTCCCAGAGTTCTGATGGGAACATGCTGCCATCTAGCTGTTGAGTTGCAGGGTGTGCTCTGCTCTTATGCGAGTACTGGATGGCAGTTTTGAGTACACCTGTGAGAGGTGTGCCCAGGTAAAGGAACTCCTCAGCCTAGTGACAGAGCTCCAGAAGGAGGTGAGTAGATTGAGGAGTATCAAGGAGTCTGAGAGAGACTACTGGAACTGCATCCTACCTTCTCTGGGACAGGCCTTTCAGGCAGACAGGATGCATGGTAGGGAGGATTATCTATCCTCTCTCCACTGGCTGAACACGGTGACTTAAGGAATAGGGGGCAATGGCAACAAGTTCCTGCCTGGCACAGCAGGTATGTCTCCTCTTTGACTATCCCACCTTCCCAGGTGCCCTTGCATAATGTGTACAAGGCTCTACAAGGGGAACTGAACAATAATGAGGATGATGGTTTATCATTATGATGGTGGTATGGCCAAGGTTAAGTCAGCCTATGCTCTGCATCAAAACTGCTTCCATAAAGAAAAAAGATGGTTTATTGTCATAGCAGACTCTTTTCTGAGAGGAACAGAAAGCTCAGTTTGCTGATCGGACCTATTACTTAGGAAAGCCTACTGTGTCCCTGGGGCCCAGCTTAAAGATGTTACAAGAAAACTTCCTACCCTGATACAGTCCTCAGATTATTATTGATTATTGATTTCTCATGTAAACAGTGATGAAGTTTCAATGAGAAGTCCGAAGGTGATCAAGAGACTTCAGGGCCTTGGCATGACTAGTTAAGGGATCAGGAGTACAAGTACTGTTTTCTCTTATACTTCCAGTTGCAGGGAATGATGGAAGAAACAAGCAGACCCAGCTGATCAATACTTGACTCTGTAACTGGTGTCATTGACAGAATTTTGGGGATTTTGATTATGGGTTGGTCTACACAACACCAGGCCTGCTGGCAACAGATGGGGTAAACCTGTCTCAAAGGGGCAAAAGGATTTTTGCGCAGAAGTTAGCAGGGCTCATTGAAAGAGCTTTAAATTAGATTTGAAGGGGAGAGGGAAAAAAACCCAAAACAGGCTCACTAGAGATAAGCCTCAGGGCGGCACAGTGTGTTGCTGAGGTCCTTCAGTCTGCCATCTCAGTGGGAGTAGGGGATGGAGATTGACACAGCAGCAAAGACGCATGGGTTATTGATGTATTAGAAACCACAGAAGCACCTGAAAACAGTCACACAGGAATTAGGGCTTCTCTCCAAAAAAAGGTTGCTGGATCAATAGCCCAAGTTAAGTGCATCTACACTAATGCATGCAGCATGGACAACAAACAAGAGGAGTTGGAAGCCATTGTGCAGCAGGAAAACTATGACATAGTTGCAATCACAGAAGCATGGTGGGATGACACACACAGCTAGAGTGCTGCAATGGATGACTATAAACTCTGCAGAAGGGATAGGCAAGGAAGGAGAGACGGTGGGGCAGCTCTGTATGTTAGGGAATGTTTTGACTGTCTAGAGCTTGACAATGGTGATAAAAGGGTCTGGTGTTTATGGGCAAGTATCAGGAGAAAAGTCAACAAGGCAGATATCATGGTGGGAGTCTGTTATAGACTGCTCAACCAGGATGAAGAGGAAGATGAAATATTCTATAAGCATCTGGGAGAAGTCTCACAATTGCTAGCCCTTGTTCTAGTGCAGGACTTCAACTTACCAGTTGTCTGCTGGAAATACAGTACAACAGAGAGGAAACAGTCTCAGAGGTTCCTGAGGTGTGTGGAAGATAAGATAGAGTTTTCAGAGACAAGGAATGTGGTTAGCCAAACTGCTATCTTGGACTTATGGAGGGAAGACTTTGGCCTGTTTAGGGGCCTGGTTGACAGAGCCCCTTGGGAGGAAGTACTGAAGGCCAAAGGAATCCAGGAAGGCTGGACATTCTTCAAGAAGGAAATCTTGAAGGCACAGGAGCAGGCTGTTCCCATGTGCCAAAATATGAGCCAGCAGGGAAGAAGACAGGCCTGGCTGAACAGAGAGTTTTGGCCGGAACTGAGGAAAAAAAAAAAAAAGAGTTTATGACCTTTAGAAGAAGGGACAGGCAACTTAGAGGGACTACAAGGATGTTATGAGGTTATGCAAGGAGGAAACGAGAAGGGCCAAAGCTCACCTAGAACTTAGTCAGACTACTGCCGTAAAAGACAGTAAAAAATGTTTCTATAAATACATTAGCAACAAAATGAGGATTAAGGTGAATCTCCATCCTTTATTGGATGTGGGGGGAAGCATAGTGTCAAAGGCTGAGGAAAAGGCTGAGGTACTTAATGCCTTCTTTGACTCAGTCTTTAGTAGTAAGACCAATCATTCTCAGGGTACCCAGCCCCCTGAACTGGAAGACAGGGGTGTGGAGCAGAATGAAGCCCCCATAATCCAAGGGGAAGTGGACAGCAACATGCTACATCACGTAGAGACACACAAGTCTATGGGGCCAGATAGGACCCACCCAAGGGTACTGAGTGAGCTGTCAGAAGAGCTCACCAAGCCAATGTCACGGTCCGAACCCGGTTTTGGGTCGCCTTATCTCAGGGCACAATCGCCCTGTTTGTTTATCAGGATTTTCTGATACCAAATTATATATTCAGGATCGCCTTCTTAATTATTTCGGTGGGTCAGTCCCTGGCTTGGGGCCGGCTTGCTTCCACCGGATATATAACCGATTGACAAGCTCCTCTCGGAAGCACACACACACAGATTATGTGTTTAAAATACCACTTTACTGTAAAAGTTTTCAAAGTGTGTGTGTGGGGAAAACTGGATATGTAAATGAACCCGGTCGGCAAAGAGAAAGAAAAAAATACTACTATAGTTTGGGGTAGAGACAGAGAGCCCAAAGCCTTTCTCGTATAGGGTCGACGAGGTGCGTGTAAGGGGCCAATTACACACACGTGTTAGAGGTGAAAGGTTTGAATGGTGATGTTATGCTCACGTCCTCCTGGAGCCAGGGGGAGGGATGAAGCGAGTTGTGACAGCGGTGGCAGATACAGCGTAGGTGGCACCAGCGGCAGGGGCAGCGAGGCAGGGCCACTCACCGCTATCGCCCTTAAGAGCTTTCTTCCGATGATCTCAGGAGCGCTGGAGAGGCGAGGAGTCTGACAAGCTGTTTTCCTCACTGGACCCGGGTCCGGCCTGTGGTGGTCTCAGCGACGGCTGCGTTCACCTCGGCTCCTTTTATTTGGTTTTCCTTCTCTCTCTTTTGACTTCTTTTCTTCTCTCTCTTTTATCTTCTTTTCTTCTCTCTCCTTTGTGCCAGCAGCAGCGGGCAATGGGCACAGTAACGACCCACAAACGATCGTCGTTATCGGCATTCATTGCTTTGCAGTCTGCAGTATTAGGCCACCGCTCCTGGGCCTACGTGCAGTTCGTGATGAAGTCCCAGCCGCGGCCCCTACCCTGCAATATCGCCACCGTTTTCTCCTTTATTATTTTTTTTTTTTTCTGTTACGTCTCTCTATTACAGTCAATTTCAGTGAGAGACATACTTTGTTGGAGGCCAGTTCTCCACAGCCAATTTCCTTAATTTATCAGCAGTCCTGGCTAACTAGGGAGGTCCCAGTTACTGGAGGTTAGCAAATGTGACGTCCATCTACAAGAAGGGCCAGAAGGAGGATTTCAGGAGCTACAGGCCTGTCAGTCTGTCCTCAGTGCCGAGGAAGGTTATGGAGCAGTTTATCTTGAGTGCCATCACATGGCACATG